CAGTAAATATTCTATTTTTTATGTAAATAAAAATTAAAAATGGAAAACAAGCCTAATATAAAAGAGGCATAGGGACATAACTAATGAACAGAGGAGATTTTTTTAGTGCCAGGAATGTCTACACTGTTAATTCTGGACCTTATTTTTAACCCTTTTACAGTCCAGAGGCCAGATTTCAAAGTGTGCACCAGTGTCCAAGAATTTTCAAAAAATAATTTCGTTATTTTTTCTTATGAAATGGTAGAGAATCTTTTTCTGATGGTAATAAAACAAAAAGTACAAAATTTGATGGAAAATTGACAAAATTATGTGCTCACGAATTTTGATGTGTCGATGATATTTACTCATCCGCGATTTTGCCGACTTTGACTCCCATTTTAGGCCACTTACATTATTCCAGTCGACCAGATTCTTAGCTATTTCACTAGTATTACTTCTGTTCTATCAAGCACAAGAATTTCCCAAGTCAGCTGTTTCAACTACAAAATAAAGTGATAGGAAATTGGTAATTTGGCCTATTTAATGCAAAGTTCAAAATACTCCAATTTCAAAATAGGGTCCAGAATAAACAATGCAGGCATTCCTGGCACTAAACTAACATTTCCTCTGTTCATTAGTTACATTTTCAGGCTTTACTAATGAATTCCATTTTTATTCTTTATTCACATAATGAATTTTTATTCAAACCAAAAAATAGAAGATTTACTGTTATGCAATATTGTAATAATTGTATAAATAATATCACCACATTTGTGAACGTATATTAGACCCACCAGCAGGCGTGTATTAGACGTGTAAGGTCATTTGTTTACTCTTGAACATCAGCAAAAATTTAACATTTCCACTACTTTGAACTCAGCTTCAAGCCATTTCCAGTACTAAAACCAATCAAAATCATCTCTATTTCTGTAAAATATCTTTCATTCTATCAAATGAGACCAAGAAATCGCAAATACAACTATAAAAGCATACGAAAAAGCACTGCAAAGTCGCTGTTTTAATCGAAAATTATGGTCTCAGTTTTTTTCTCTCATGTACTATGTGCTGCAGGATTTGTTTTATGTGGTGCACACATACCACATAGATGTATTCTCTCATATCTAGGCCAAAATTTACCGCTCACAGCTTATCAGAGTGAGCTGAGCTCATGACATAGATCTATGGTTTGGACCCTCAACGTACAGCCGTAGATCTACGGCACGGACTCTCAAAGGGTTAATACAGGGAATTCTTCAACTTGCCTAACCCTTGGGCATGATGTACTTTCACATTCATCAAATGTGATACCACCTACGACTGCTGCAGTATATAGGCCACTTATTCACACATATGCTGTATTCTTTTCAAGATCCCATGATGATGCAGTGTCTGAGAGATGTGATAAATGGTTTTGAAAACCTTTCTTTATCTGTGCATATTCGTTTCTGGCTCTTCGATTAATCTCCTCATTTTCCTGGGTCCTTTACCTTCTGTACTTTTTCCATTCTCTAGTGCACTTAGTTTTTGCCTCCCTACACCTTCGGGTAAACCAAGGGCTCGTTCTGGTCTTCCCATTATTTCTGTTGCCCTTGGGAACAAACCTTTCCTCTGGCTCCTTGCATTTTATTATGTATTCCATCATTTCGTTTACTGTCTTTCCTACCAATTCTCTGTCCCACTGAACCTCCTGCAGGAAGTTCCTCATACCTGTATAGTCCCCCCTTTTATTGTTTGGCTTTTCCCATTCAACTCCTGTTACCCTCTTCACTTGTAACTCTGCTATGCATTCAAAGCTCAAAACCACGTGATCATTAACTCCAAGGCACCTGTCATATGTGATGTCCTCAATATCTTGAACTGTTCAGGGTGAGCACCAGATCCAGTTTTGCTGGTTCATCCACCCCTTTCTCTAGTAGTGTCCCTAACATGTTGATGCATGAGGTTTTCCAGCACCACATCCATCCTCTTGGCTTTCCATGATTTGGGACCCCCATGTGGCTCCAGGTTTTCCCAATCGATCTCCCTGTGGTTGAAATCGCCCATAACCAGTAACTTTGCTCTGCTTGAGTGAGCTCTTCTTGCCACCTCAGCTATAGTGTCCACCATTGCTCTGTTGCTCTCTTCATATTCCTCTCTTGGCCTTCTGCAGTTCTGTGGTAGGTTATACATCACTGCAATGACTACCTCATGTTCCCCAGACTGAATTGTACCTACTATGTAATCCCTTTCTCCAGTCTCATCCATGCCTTCCATTTCCTCAAATCTCCATCAGTTTTTAATGAGCAGTGCAACCCCTCCTCCCCCTCTGCTGCTCCTATCTTTCCTCAGGATCCAATATCCCAGTGGGAAGATTGCGTCTGTTATTGTCTCAGTGAGTTTCATTTCTGTGACTGCTATGATGTCTGGGGACTTCTCATTGATTCTTTCATGCTACTCCTCATATTTATTCATTATTCCATCCGCGTTCGTGTAACAAACCTTCAACTTCTTTTCTAACACTGTGGTCCTGGGGTAATAATGGGGTTGGGGGAGCGGGAGCCCAGGCAGGGGCCTATGGGGGGTTACGGTGGGGGTGGGGTTTGTGATGTGAGGGGTGGGCATAGAGGAAACTGTGTGTGGGTTTTGGTTTAGATTGTTCAGTTGCTTTGGGGTTGTGTGATGAATGGTTTTGAAATCCGACAAGTTGAAGACTTGATACACTTATGCAACACATGGGAATCTTTATTGAAGAAACATTTTGCCACACAGTGGCTTCATCAGTCCAATACAAAGTAGAAATGAGTAAGGAGAGGAGGAGTTTGAGGTAATCAGTCCCTCAAGCTGGAATCGATGTGTTCAGTCCATCACTCTTGTAGGAAGTGCAGCATAGGGCCAGAGAGGTGGCTTATATACTGCAGTCTGATGAGTCGAAGCAGGAGGGGGCGGGATCACAGTGGGACCTGCCACTAGTGTAAGTAGGTCGTCGTCCAAAGGTTGGACAAGCGTTGAAGTCTTTGTACCAAGATCCCATGATGTTGCAGTGTCTGACAGATGTGATGAATGGTTTTCAAAACCATGCATCACATCTGTCAAAACTCTCGACTTTCTGACTTTGGTCCTCACTCGATTTGTACTTTGTATATTTGTAACTGTATGGCAGCAGGTGCCTGCTAGGCCTTTAACCCTTTGGGGGTTTCGGACATACTAGTACGTCTTACGACCCAGGGTTTTTGACGTACTAGTACGCCTAAATTCTAGCGCCCTCAAATCTAGTGAGAGAAAGCTGGTAGGCATACATATGAAAGAATGGGTCTATGTGGTCAGTGTGCGCAGTATAAAAAAAATCCTGCATCACACAGTGCGTAATGAGAAAAAAAAAACTTTGACCGTGTTTTGGGATTAAAACAGCGACTTTGCACTGCATTTTCGTATGGTATTTATTGTTGTATTCTAGTTTTCTTGGTCTCATTGTATAGAATGGAAGACATATTACAGAAATTGAGATGATTGTGACTGGTTTTACAATGAAAAGTACCTTGAAATTGAGCTCAAAGTAGCAGAAATGTTCGATTTTTACCAAAGTTCAAAAGTAAACAAATCATGCCAAGCATCCAATACACATCAACTGGTGAGTCTAATATTCTTTCACAAGTGCGCTGATATTATTTATACCATTTCTACACTAATGCAGTAGTCTGCATAACAGTAAATCTTATTTTTTTTGTAAGAATAAAAATTCAAAGTGGAAAGCCAAAGAAATATAAGAGGGGCTTGGGGATGTGACTAACGAACAGAGAACTTATTATTTGAGTGCCAGGAATGTTTTTCTTGTTTATTCTGGACCCTATTCGGAAATTGACATCTTTTGAAATTTGTGTGAAATTGGCAAAATTGCTAAATTCTGACCACTTTATTGGATAGTTGAAATCGGTAAATGGGTGATTTCTTGTACTCATTCGATAGAAAAAATGGAGTTATAGCGAAATAGTTATGATTTGTGTCGACTAGTACACTGGAATTGGCCGAAAATAGGGCTCAAAGTGGGCAAAATCGCCGATGCATAAACAGCATCGAGACCGCTAACTTCGCGAGAGCATAATTCCGTAAGTTTTCCATCAAATTTCATACTTTTGGTGTCATTATGATCGGGAAAAGATTCTCTATCTTTTCATAAGATTTTTTTTTTTTTTTTTTTTTTTTTTTTCCAACCCTGAGAACATGTCACTGAGAGGACCTGTCAACCCCTAAAGGGTTAACAATTTGGCACTTTCACATTTCTTTGTGAAATTTCAGACTTTCCCTCACCTTTTTTTTTTTTTACTAATAACTTTGGTTAGCACTTCTAGGGTTGTTCACTGACCCTGTCACTACCACTGGCTTCTGCTAGGAGCTAATGCACATCCTAAAAACATGAAGATTTCCAGACCCAGTGTCCCACAATGTATACAGGTCTGCACAGTGTGTGTGTGTATTAGTTACCATTTTGTCCTAGGCACATGTCGATTAGACACTAGACCTGTGTGTCAATGTGTGTGTATGGGTGGGTGTGTGTGCATTTGTGTGTGTGTATGCATTTGTGTGTGTGTGTGTGCATTTGTGTGTGTGTGCATTTGTGTGTATGTGTGTGCATTTGTGTATGTGTGTGCATTTGTGTGTGTGTGTGTGTGCATTTGTGTGTGTGTGTGTGTGTGCATTTGTGTGTGTGTGTGTGTGTGCATTTGTGTGTGTGTGTGTCAGCGTGTCAGCGTCAGTGTCAGTGTGTCTGTCAGTGACAGTGTCAGTGTCACAGTGTTTTGATGATTTGTTTTATAAAGTTAACTGTCACTACCTTCAGATTTGATTTTATACCCCTGATGGGAGGTAGGTGCCTTGATGATAGTGAGGGCTCTTGATCTAAGGAACTGAGCTTGGCCTCCCTTTCCTTGGACTAAACCTGAATACCCATCATTCACTCTGTGCTATAAAACCCATCTGAGTTGGGCACTTATTGCTGTTTAAAATAAATTTATGGAAATGCTTTTATTTCATTTTTTCTTTAACAGGTTTTCAGTTTTACGCATACGAAGTTTACTCTGTATTCAGAACCTGACAAGTGTGTTGAGTCTAAGTGATATTGGAGGGACAGAACTCATGTACTCAACTTGGGTAAACCTTGGCAGCAAGATCTTCCAAAATTCTTGCACAGGTAATTTCTCTTGTTATTGATGTTGCTATTCTCATTGCTTTTCCATTAATTACTTTTGCACAGTAGGTTTTCAATATTGCACAACATTAACAGTTTCATTATATAATCACAAAGCCATATTAGAGAATAATAATATGCATTATACAGATATGGAATCCATGGATTCTGTATCTGCAGTTTCAGTTATCCACCATTTTTCTACTATGGCCCCAAAATAACCCTTAACCCGTAAACGGTCTAAATGTATATATACGTTCACTACCCCAGTGCCCCGAATATTTTCAAAAATAAAAAAAAAATATTTTTTTTATGGAAATAAAGAGCACATTTTTCTAAGTGTTTTTTTTTTTTTTTTTTTTTTTTTTTTTTTTTTCTTCAACAAGTTGGTCGTCTCCCACCGAGGCAGGGTGACCCAAAAAAGAAAGAAAATCCCCAAAAAGAAAATACTTTCATCATCATTCAACACTTTCACCACACTCGCACATTATCACTGCTTTTGCAGAGGTGCTCGGAATACAACAGTTTAGAAGCATATACGTATAAAGATACACAACATATCCCTCCAAACTGCCAATATCCCAAACCCCTCCTTTAAAGTGCAGGCATTGTACTTCCCATTTCCAGGACTCAAGTCCGACTATAAGAAAATAACCGGTTTCCCTGAATCCCTTCACTAAATATTACCCTGCTCACACTCCAACAGATCGTCAGGTCCCAAGTATCATTCGTCTCCATTCACTCCTATCTAACATGCTCATGCACGCTTGCTGGAAGTCCAAGCCCCTCGCCCACAAAACCTCCTCTACCCCCTCTTTCCAACCCTTTCGAGGACGACCCCTGCCCCTCTTTCCTTCCCCTATAGATTTATATGCTTTCCATGTCATTCTACTTTGATCCATTCTCTCTAAATGACCAAACCACCTCAACAACCCCTATTCTGCCCTCTGACTAATTTCCACACTCTGAATTTTCTGCATAATATATACACCACACATTGCCCTTAGACAGGACATCTCCACTGCCTCCAACCGTCTCCTCGCTGCTGCATTTACCACCCAAGCTTCACATCCATATAAGATTGTTGGTACTACTATACTTTCATACATTCCCTTCTTTGCCTCCATAGATAACGTTTTTTGACTCCACATATACCTCAACGCACCACTCACCTTTTTTCCCCTCATCAATTCTATGATTAACCTCATCCTTCATAAATCCATCCACCAACACGTCAACTCCCAAGTATCTGAAAACATTCACTTCTTCCATACTCCTCCTCCCCAATTTGATATCCAATTTTTCTTTATCTAAATCATTTGATACCCTCATCACATTAATCTTTTCTATGTTCACTTTCAACTTTCTACCTTTACACACATTCTCAAACTCATCCACTAACCTTTGCAATTTTTCTTTAGAATCTCCCATAAGCACAGTATCATCAGCAAAAAGTAACTGTGTCAATTCCCATTTTTGAATTTGATTCCCCATAATTTAATCCCACCCCTCTCCCGAACACCCTAGCATTTACTTCTTTTACAACCCCATCTATAATATATTAAACAACCATGGTGACATTTACACATCCTGTCTAAGACCTACTTTTACCGGGAAGTATTCTCCCTCTCTTCTACACACCCTAACCTGAGCCTCACTATCCTCATAAAAGCTCTTTACAGCATTTAGTAACTTACCACCTATTCCATATACTTGCAACATCTGCCACATTGCTCCTCTATCCACTCTATCATATGCCTTTTCTAAATCATAAATGCAATAAAAACTTTCCCTACCTTTATCTAAATACTGTTCACATATATGCTTCAATGTAAACACTTGATCTACACATCCCTACCCACTCTGAAGCCTCCTTGCTCATCCGCCAATTCTACATTCTGTCTTACCTTTAATTCTTTCAATTATAACTCTACCGTATACTTTTTCCTGGTATACTCAGTAAACTTATTCCTCTATAATTTTTACAATCTCTTTTGTCCCCTTTCCCTTTATATAAAGGGACTATACATGCTCTCTGCCAATCCCTAGGTACCTTCCCCTCTTTCATACATTTATTAAACAAAAGTACCAACCACTCCAACACTATATCCCCCTCTGCTTTTACATTTCTGTCATGATCCCATCAGTTCCAGCTGCTTTACCCCCTTTCATTCTACGTAATGCCTCACGTGCCTCCACCACACTTACATTCTGCCTCTTCTTCACTCCTAAAAGATGGTATACCTCCCTGGCCAGTGCATGAAATTACCGCCTCCCTTTCTTCCTCAACATTTAAAAGTTCCTCAAAATATTCTCGCCATCTACCTAATACCTCCTCTCCCCATCTACTAACTCCCTACTCTGTTTTTAATGGACAAATCCATACTTTCCCTAGGCTTTCTTAACTTGTTTAACTCACTCCAAAATTTTTTCTTATTTTCATTTAAAATTTCTTGACAGTGCCTCTCCCACTCTTTCATCTGCTCTCCTTTTGCACTCTCTTCACCTTTCTTTTACTCTCCATATACTCTGCTCTTCTTATAACACTTCTGCTTTGTAAATACCTCTCGTAAGCTACCTTTTTCTCTTTTATCACACCCTTTATTTCATCATTCCACCAATACACTCCTCTTTCCTCCTGCCCCACCCTCCTATAACCAAACTTCTGCCCCACATTCTAATACTGCATTTTTAAAAACTATTCCAACCCCCTTCAACCCCCCCACTACTCATCTTTGCACTAGCCCACCTTTCTGCCAATAGTCGCTTATATCTTGCCCGAACTTCCTCCTCCCTTAGTTTATACACTTTCACTCCCTCTTACTTGTTGTTGCCACCTTCCTCTTTTCCCATCTACCTCTTACTCTAACTGTAGCTACAACTAAATAATGATCTGATATATCAGTTGCCCCTCTATAAACATGTACATCCTGGAGCCTACCCATCAACCTTTTATCCACCAATACATAATCTAACAAACTACTTTCATTACGTGCTACATCATACCTTGTATATTTATTTATCCTCTTTTTCATAAAATATGTATTACTTATTACCAAATTTCTTTCTACACATAGCTCAATTAAAGGCTCCCCATTTACATTTACCCCTGGCACCCCAAATTTACCTACTACTCCCTCCATAACATTTTTACCCACTTTAGCATTGAAATAAAATAAAAATAAAAAAAATAAACAAAATAAAATAAAATAAAAATAAAAAAAATTAGGGTCAGTACTTACAGAGATATGAAGCCGAGAAGTTGGCACTTGGCGATCACCTGATGGCAACGTGGAGTCCTGCGGCTTGCATTAGTGTTGCCGATATGCCTTTTTTTCTCTTTCTCATATTGTTTTTTATAATTTTTATGTTCAGATAATTCCAATTTATAGTAGTTCTTGTCATTTCATAACCAATCTTTGTTCTGACACTAATATTAGGTACTGAAATTGTACTTAAATTGTCACAAACACACTGACAGGTGGACATTTACACCTCCCCTGGTCATTTACTATTGTCTAGGAATATATACAAAGTATTTATAAGTCCCAGCAATGTTTTGGACAGTGGGAGTATATAAGAAGATGGAAGAAGGAAGGAGGAGGAAGAAGGAAGGAGGAGGAAGAAAGGAAGGAGGAAGAAGAAAGGAAGGAGGAAGAAGAAAGGAAGGAGGAAGAATGAAGGAGGAAGAAGAAAGGAAGGAGGAAGAAGAAAAGAAGGAGGAAGAAGAAGGAAGGAGGAGGAGGAGGAGGAAGGAGAAGGAGGAGGAGTAAAGAGGAGGAGGAGGAAGGAGAAGGAGGAGGAAGAAAAAGGAGGAGGAAGAAGAAGAAGGAAGATGATGAAGAAGAAAATGGTAATAATAGTGGTGGTGGTAGTAGTAGTAGTAGCAGTAGTAGTAGTTCTTCCCTTGTAGCATGTAAAACAAGCCTCAGTCCACCCCTGACAGTGAAGTGATAAGATGACATAACATTAGCTAATTGGTGACATTTGATGAGCATACGTGAGGGTGCAGTGATAACACTTGAAAAGATAAGATAAGAGAGGTGACATTTGATGAGCATCGGCCCTTGCTTTGTTTTCACTGGTACACAAACATGATTGTCTCTGTCTATCTATCCGTCTAGCTCTCTGTCCCAGAGAGAGCCACAAGACTGCGTCATCATGTTTACTTGTATCTTCAAGCAGAGTATAGCACTTTGTCTAGATTTTTGGGGTTATTATTTTTTTTATTATTAACACACTGGCCGATTCCCACCAAGGCAGGGTGGCCCGAAAAAGAAAAACTTTCACCATCATTCACTCCATCACTGTCTTGCCAGAAGGGTGCTTTACACTACAGTTTTTAAACTGCAACATTAACACCCCTCCTTCAGAGTGCAGGCACTGTACTTCCCATCTCCAGGACTCAAGTCCGGCCTGCTGGTTTCCCTGAATCCCTTCATAAATGTTACTTTGCTCACACACTAACAGCACGTCAAGCATTAAAAACCATTTGTCTCCATTCACTCCTATCAAACACGCTCACGCATGCCTGCTGGAAGTCCAAGCCCCTCGCACACAAAACCTCCTTTACCCCCTCCCTCCAACCTTTCCTAGGCCGACCCCTACCCCGCCTTCCTTCCACTACAGACTGATACACTCTTGAAGTCATTCTGTTTCGCTCCATTCTCTCTACATGTCCGAACCACCTCAACAACCCTTCCTCAGCCCTCTGGACAACAGTTTTGGTAATCCCGCACCTCCTCCTAATTTCCAAACTACGAATTCTCTGCATTATATTCACACCACACATTGCCCTCAAACATGACATCTCCACTGCCTCCAGCCTTCTCCTCGCTGCAACATTCATCACCCATGCTTCACACCCATATAAGAGCATTGGTAAAACTATACTCTCATACATTCCCCTCTTTGCCTCCAAGGGCAAAGTTCTTTGTCTACACAGACTCCTAAGTGCACCGCTCACCCTTTTCCCCTCATGAATAATACTTTTAGTAATTCCCCACTCCTTAATTTCAACACTACAAATTTTCTGCATTACATTTATGCCACACATTGCCCTTTACACGACATCTCCACTGCCTCCAACCTGCTCCTCACTACAACATTCACAACCCATGTTTTTCACCCTCAAAAAATTTGGTACCCTATACACCCCTCCCCATTAGCTGTCTCGTTTACCGTGCCTCAGCTTACGGGGGGGCTCTCTGACCAGTTAATACCTAATAATGTATATTAGAGCTGCTTTCCTCTGTTTGTTTATTACAGTATACGACCTATGTTAAAAATTTTAAAAAAATTCCCGAAATGTTATAAATGGTGCAAGAGGACATTTAAAAAATAATAAAATGGGGACACAAACCCATACCTTTTTTTAGGCCCCCCTTAGTGCGAATTCATTTACCGCCTGGTCTTAGGAAAAGGAAATCTTCTTAAATGGGGGAGGCGTAAATCATTTTTTTCCTTCTTTTCCCCCCCATGGATAATGTTCTTTGTCTCCACAGATACCCCAAACACCCCCCACCTTTTTTTTCCCTTTGTCAGTTTATGGTTTATTCTCCCTTTGAAACCCATTGCCAACAAAATCTGCTCCCAAAATTTTTGAACACATTTACTTCTTCCATCTCCCCCTCCAAACTGATGTCCAAAATTTTTTTCCCTTTTCAAATATTTTATGCCACATCACCTTATTTTATTGGTTTTCTTTTCTTCCTTACACACCCTTCCAAACTCATCTACTAACCTTTGCAATATCTCTTCAGACTCTCCCCAAAACATAGTATCATTAGCAAAAAGTAACTTTGTCAACTCCTATTTTGTATTTGTATCCACATAATTTAACCCCACCCCTCTTCCCAACACCATAGCATATACTCCTTTTACAACCCCATCTTGCTATTTAAATAATTTCTTGCAAGTACTGTGACCAATTTCAAGAGCTTTTGTACTGTACCAGCATAGTTTCTGGCCAGGCTTACTTGTTGGTTGCATATTCAACCAAATTGTTGATTCTCCACATAGCTTTACAGGCTTGTTGGCAAAGGTAGTGATACATAAGAACATAAGAGAGGAGGAACACTGCAGCAAGCCTGTTGGCCCATACTAGGCAGGTCCTTTACAATTCATCCCACTAACAAAACATTTGCCCAACCCAATTTTCTATGCTACCCAAGAAATAAGCTCTGATGTGCAAGTCCCACTCAAATCCAACCCCTCCCACTCATGTACTTATCCAATCTAGCCTCAATCACCCAACTAGGTAGATTGTTCCACTCATCAACCACCCTATTTCCAAACCAATACTTTCCTATGTCCTTTCTAAATCTAAACTTATCTAATTTAAATCCATTACTGCAGGTTCTCTCTTGGAGAGACATCCTCAAGACCTTATTAATATCCCCTTTATTAATACCTATCTTCCACTTATACACTTCGATCAGGTCTCCCCTCATTCTTCGTCTAACAAGTGAATGTAATTTAAGAGTCTTCAATCTTTCTTCATAAGGAAGATTTCTAATGCTATGTATTAATTTAGTCATCCTACGCTGAATGTTTTCTAACGAATTTATGTCCATTCTGTAATATGGAGACCAGAATTGAGCTGCATAATCCAGGTGAGGCCTTACTAATGATGTATAAAGCTGCAGTATGACCTCTGGACTTCTGTTGCTTACACTTCTTGATATAAATCCCAGTAATCTATTTGCCTTATTACGTACGCTTAGGCATTGCTGTCTTGGTTTAAGGTTGCTGCTCACCATAACCCCCAAGTCCTTTTCGCAATCTGTGTGGCTAAGTTCTACATCATTTAACTTATAAGTGCTAGTGTTATGGACTCTCCCGAGCTTCAGAACCTTGCATTTATCTACATTGAACTGCATCTGCCACTTTTCTGACCAAGAACAGAGTTTGTTTAAATCCTCCTGAAGTTCCCTAACATCTACGTTTGAATCAATTATCCTACCTATCTTTGTGTCATTGGCGAATTTGCTCATATCACTAGCAACATCCTCATCAAGATCATTGATATATATTATAAACAACAATGGGCCCAAGACTGATCCCTGTGGAACGCCACTTGTTACAGTTCCCCCACTCGGATTTAGCCCCATTTATGGACACTCTCTGCTTCCTGTCTGTGAGCCATGACTCGATCCACGAGAGCACTTTTCCCACAATGCCATGAGTGTCCTCTTGAAGGCTTCTGCATTTGTTCCAGCAGTATATCTGATACTTGCTGGAAGCAGATTTCAGAGTTTTGGGTCATGGATATTGACAAAGTATGTTCTCTTATTGTGACTACAGTGCCCCTGCTTTTCACCAAGTTTATTTTGCACTTCCGTATAACTCTAGTGGTAGTGTGTAGATTTTGGGACCTGGCTCTCCAATATCTTGAAGTGTCAGGATTGGAAACAAAGTCTGTGACTGGCACATCAGAGCCACCGTTTTTTTTTATGCTGACCATCCCACCAAGGTAGGGTGACCCAAATAAAAAGAAACACATTCATCATCATTCAGTCCATTTCTTACCAGAAGTGCTAAAATGTCTTTAAACACATCTAATATAAACTAGTGTACATAGTGTTAATCATTGAAAGTAATTAATAAAGAGAAAAACAATATCTTGGCATCAAAATATGATTGTAAAAATCACTGGTGCATTTATTCCATTGTTGCTGATGAGTTTTTTTTTTTTTTTTTTTTTTTTTTTTTTTTTTTTTCTTCCCAGTTTCAACACACACCATAAAATCGTAAGTTTTTATCAGTTTCTACTCATTTTAATTTTATTCAATTCGGAAAAATACACTTCATTCTGTAATTTTTTTTATTAATCTTTCCTCACCAGGAGTTTCTGTTAAGTGGGTTTAGGGGGGTTAAAAGGTTAAAGTTATTGGAACTGCTGTAGTGATTAGCTTCTTATAGCCTATTGATATTGCAGAAAGTGGACTTCTAGAGGCTGCTACTGGTGCCATGAGAGCAATAATGGATCGACTCAGCCAAGATAAGTGCGAAAAATTAGCTGCTATAACACAAGAAGATCTTAAGGTATGTAATTTTGTGTGAACTATGTAGTTATCACATACAGTATACAGATTTTTTTTTTTTAAACCAGCTTTATCTCATCGAAGCAGGGTAGCCTAAAAAGAAAAGCGAAAATTACTCTTTTTTAACCTGTGAATGGTCCAAACGTATATATATGTTTTTTCAACATTTGAAAGTATGTAAAAAAAGTAAATCATCTTTTTGTTTTTTTACATTTGAAAATGTGTAAAAGAAAACTTTGATCTACTTTTTTTTTTTTTTTTTTTTGAAAATACAGTGGACCCCCGGTTAGCGATATTTTTTCACTCCAGAAGTATGTTCAGGTGCCAGTACTGACCAAATTTGTTCCCATAAGGAATATTGTGAAGTAGATTAGTCCATTTCAGACCCCCAAACATGCACGTACAAACGCACTTACATAAATGCACTTACATAATTGGTCGCATTCGGAGGTGATCGTTATGCGGGGGTCCACTGTATGTAAAAAAAAAACGTACATCTACTTTTGTAGCACTACACATGTGAACGCAGATCTGCTTGGACTGTTTACGGGTTAACTTTAGTAATGTATACAAGAGAAGGGGTTACTAGCCACTTGCTTCTGGCATGTTAATCACCTCTTATGACACACATGGCTTACAAAGAAAGAATTCTGTTCCACTTCCTATGGAGACAGAATATTTAGGTTGTGTGATGGGTTACTCAGCTCTGTAACAACTTCAGTAAGTATTACCAAGGCTGGCTTCTCCTCAGGAAAATTAATGAATAGAAAAAGAATAATAACAGTCAAATATAAACACTTTATTATTTAGAAATGAAAATATAAAACAATTAAATATGAATTTTTATCCTACTTGAAAGAGAAATGAAAAATGAAATATAAAAATAATATCTGAATTCAACGCTAATATGTACAGTTAGACTGGGGTGTCTGATGTTGTTGACACCGCGTGTTGTAGAAATTGTAGCCGTTGCTGATGATGGGGGGGGGTCACAGATGTTGAGTGACAACCCAACGACTAGTTCTTCACAGAGTCTCTAGCCTTGAATAGTCCATCAAGATGATAGGAATGCAGGTCTTTCACCACTGCAAAGATGAGAGGTAGTTGCCTGGGGTTGACTATACTTAGGTATGCAGATAAAATGGTGACGTCCCAGAACTTGGGTAAAGTTCGTCTCCTTCAACACTTTCTTTGGTTGCCAGATGACCCGAGCTGACATTCCAAGCTAGAAAGAGACAAAGGTTACCCACTGCCTAAGAAATCACTCTCCATGATAAGTAAAGTATTTAAAAAACATGGTGATTATCTAAAAGCACATGGAAATCAAGGCAGAATGAACTAAGTCTTAAAAATGGGTTAAAAGTGAAGCTTTTAACCAATATATCCATTAAATAAAAACAGGAGCAGAGGCTTTTACTTACAGTTGTGTTGGGAGCTGTGAGTCAAGTGATTACCATTTGGTCGGAGCCCCACACGTCACCTTTCCGGGTGGAAAAAGGAGGGGAAAACGGGAGCTAGACACTGACCCTACCTTAACAAGCAGACGGGCAATCAAACTATAGTCACCATATACTCGCTCGCTACTCCTATCTGTTGAAGTTTTCCCTCACAGGTTGAAAATATATATTCATATAAAGTACATACTAAATACATGAGTCTTTCAATGCAAGGAGTAGTAGAGTTTTAATTCTCTGTTTGCTAGTTACAAGACAAACTCTACACCACTACAGTGGTTTCCGTTAAAGCAGTATATAATTTAAATATAAAGTAATTCACAGAAGTTATTTTCTCAGGAAATATAAAAGATTATGCTGCAGGATTAACCTGTAAACTGTCAGTAACATATATCTACATCAGTGGTTTTAGTGTAGGTGCCGTAGACCTGTTCATAATTCATAATGCCCTCAAATTTACTGTTAGTAGCAAATTCTTGCCTAGCTGTGAAAAAATAGACCTGTGCAGTAGGTGTGTACATTAAAAAAAATCCTGCCCCATACAGTGCATGACGGGAACAGCCAACCTTTGACCCTCTGTTTGGGTTAAAACTACAAATTTGGGGCTTTTTTTTTTTTTTAGGGTAGTTTTATTGACTGCTGCTTGATACTGTTAGGGAAAACAATAGTCAGTGGACACCATTTTAGTCAATAAAACTAGAGGTGGCTTTAAATAGGCATCAAATTTTTAAAAATGGTCAATTTTGGGAGATTTTTTTTTTCCTGGGTAGAGGCTCTGTGTCCCCAACTTAGTCTGTTTTATGGGCTTTTATTAGGTCTGATTCAGTTACTGGAATGAACTAAATCATCACCAAGCATTCTTATGGTTTATTAGTTGAGAAAGGGAAAATTGTCATTTCAAAATAAGGTCCAGAATAAATAATGTAGACATTCCTGGCACTAAAACAACATTTCCTCTGTTCATTAGTCACATCCTCAGGCCTCTCCTATATTATGCTTATTTTCAGTTTTGAACTTTTATTAACACAAATAGAAGATTTATTGCTATGCAGACTACTGCATTCTTGTAATAATTGTATAAACTATGTTAGCACAATTATGAACACATATTAGACCGACCAGTTGGACGGGTATTGGGCAAGTGACGTAATTTGTGTACTCTGGAATATCAGCTAAAATCAAACATTTCCACTACTTTGAGTTCAGTTTCAAACTACTTTCAGTCCTGAAACCAATCAAAATCATCGCTATTTCTGTAATATATTTTCTATTATATCAACTGAGCCCAAGAAACTGAGAATACAAAAATAAAAACTATAAGAAAAAAACACCGCAAAGTCGCTGTTTTAAACCAAAAATACTGTCGCTTTTTTTTCCCCCATTATGCACTGCATGCTGCAAGATTTTTTTTATATGGTACACATTTACTGCATAGATCTATTCTCTCATATCTAGGTCAAAATTTACCACTGACAGCTTATCTGACAGAGCTGAGCTTATGGTGTCTAGAACTACAGGACCGACTGAGGCTTCAGAGTCGTAGAACAATGGGACTTACCTTGAAAGGGTTAATAGGATGGTTCTGATGGTTGAGTGACCAATTTCTTGCAACCAGTGGGTAGTATGGAAGGCATACTAGTGAAATAGCTGGGAGTTGGAAAAGTTTCAGCACTGAAATTGGCTTAAGATAGACACCAAAGAGGATGAAATCACTATTGCATAACGTGCTCCCCAAGCTCCAACTTTTACACCTGTGATTCCATGGGTATTGCATCAAATTTGGCATTTTTTGTGTTGTTATCTTTAGAAAAAAATTATCGTTTTGAAGATAAAATTATTTTTTTAAAAATGCTGACAGAGAAGGAGCTTCCAATTTGGGGGCTGCCAACAGTTGAAGAATTAATCTATCTTTCTTTCAACACACCAGCCGTATCCCACCGAGGCAGGGTGGTCCAAAAGAAAAAACAAAAGTTTCTCCTTTTACATTTAGTAATATATACAGAAGAGATTACTAGCCCCTTGCTCCCAGCATTTTAGTCGCCTCTTACAACATGCATGGCTTACAGAGGAAGAATTCTGTTCCACTTCCCCATGGAGATAAGAGGAAATAAACAAGAATAAGAACTAGAAGGTACCTAGGGATTGGCGGAGAGCATGTATAGTCCCTTTATATAAAGGGAAAGGGGACAAAAGAGATTGTAAAAATTATAGAGGAATAAGTTTACTGAGTATACCAGGAAAAGTATACGGTAGGGTTATAATTGAAAGAATTAGAGGTAAGACAGAATGTAGAATTGCGGACGAACAAGGAGGTTTCAGAGTGGGTAGAGGATGTGTAGATCAAGTGTTTACATTGAAGCATATATGTGAACAGTATTTAGATAAAGGTAGGGAAGTTTTTATTGCATTTATGGATTTAGAAAAGGCATATGATAGAGTGGATAGAGGAGCAATGTGGCAGATGTTGCAAGTATATGGAATAGGTGGTAAGTTACTAAATGCTGTAAAGAGCTTTTATGAGGATAGTGAGGCTCAGGTTAGGGTGTGTAGAAGAGAGGGAGAATACTTCCCGGTAAAAGTAGGTCTTAGACAGGGATGTGTAATGTCACCATGGTTGTTTAATATATTTATAGATGGGGTTGTAAAAGAAGTAAATGCTAGGGTGTTCGGGAGAGGGGTGGGATTAAATTATGGGGAATCAAATTCAAAATGGGAATTGACACAGTTACTTTTTGCTGATGATACTGTGCTTATGGGAGATTCTAAAGAAAAATTGCAAAGGTTAGTGGATGAGTTTTGAGAATGTGTGTAAAGGTAGAAAGTTGAAAGTGAACATAGAAAAGAGTAAGGTGATGAGGGTATCAAATGATTTAGATAAAGAAAAATTGGATATCAAATTGGGGAGGAGGAGTATGGAAGAAGTGAATGTTTTCAGATACTTGGGAGTTGACGTGTCGGCGGATGGATTTATGAAGGATGAGGTTAATCATAGAATTGATGAGGGAAAAAAGGTGAGTGGTGCGTTGAGGTATATGTGGAGTCAAAAAACGTTATCTATGGAGGCAAAGAAGGGAATGTATGAAAGTATAGTAGTACCAACACTCTTATATGGATGTGAAGCTTGGGTGGTAAATGCAGCAGCGAGGAGACGGTTGGAGGCAGTGGAGATGTCCTGTCTAAGGGCAATGTGTGGTGTAAATATTATGCAGAAAATTCGGAGTGTGGAAATTAGGAGAAGGTGTGGAGTTAATAAAAGCTTTAGTCCAGAGGGCAGAAGAGGGGTTGTTGAGGTGGTTTGGTCATTTAGAGAGAATGGATCAAAGTAGAATGACATGGAAAGCGTATAAATCTATAGGGGAAGGAAAGAGGGGTAGGGGTCGTCCTTGAAAGGGTTGGAAAGAGGGGGTAAAGGAGGTTTTGTGGGTGAGGGGCTTGGACTTCCAGCAAGCATGCATGAGCGTGTTAGATAGGAGTGAATGGAGACGAATGATACTTGGGACCTGACGATCTGTTGGAGTGTGAGCAGGGTAATATTTAGTGAAGGGAT